GTGCACAAATTCCAGATTGCTGTTTTGCATTTATTTGAACTCTATAAATGATCACTTAGCCATCCATGAGATATTTGTAACTCCAGAATGGGCAGGAATGACCAGAAACTCCTGCATTTCCCAGTGATTTCGGATATGCACAAATTCTGGAATTCCGCTGTGATATGGAATAGATCTTTTAAGATGATCATTTCGTTATTCAGTAGATCCTTCGAATTGTGGAAGTATCCGGAATGACCTGGAATTGAATGTTCAGAGTTGGATTTGAAAGGAACTAATAATCAGGAATTCCTGGTTGTGGCATGTATTTGAGGGAAAGGGTCGTTTTAGGATTTTCGGAATTGATAGTAAGGGAATATGGGTCAGAAGGCGATGCAGGAATGTGTAACTTTTGGGAATAGGAAGTATTCTCATTCTCTCAGAGAACAGAAAACGATCGAATTATTAGATATTATTTGAATTTTAAATCATGCTATCATATAATTTTACTAATTATTCATTTATTTGGAACATCACTATGTGAATGTAATATACAAAGCGTCAACCTGAATCATGACAACACAATTAATGGTTTCATTATTGTTTCAGATCTTCTGCTCTTTTCATTACTAAATATAAATAAAACCCTCGAACTTATTAAATTTTCAGTTTGAAAAATGGCTCACATCACAAATATGCTTAAAATTGAAGTTGACTAATTCTGAAATCGATAGTTTGACTGATCTTCAGTCTGTATGAGTTAAAATCAGGTGAGACTGAACCTACAGAAGCAAAAAACAAGTGAGGCTCAAGTCTCACCGAGCCTACAGGCGTCGCCGCTACTGCCTTTATCCAATTTTTAGATCAGAACTTATTTGTTAAACAGAAACCTTAACAAAGAGTTGAATTAGATTTTCTTAATTCGAACCCGAATTTCGAGTTACGACGTTGTAGAAAATCAAAAGAAAAAATTGAATTCTCTTATGTTATGTTGTATTTTAGATCGAAAGTTCTTCATTTACAGAAAAGAACAAATAAAAGCAGCTGAATTTAACCACACCCGATAAACTTCACTTTGGAATTTTTTCGTTTATCAAAACAAAAACAAATTGATAAATTTTAGTATTTCTATTAGAAATTTTATTCGAAATCTTTTCTTTAAACGGAAAAGAGAACATACCCCTGAATTTCATTCTCATAACACAAAGTATAGAGCGGAATTTTATTAATAATAAAAATTGAAAAAGCTGCATTGTATTATTTATTTCGATCTTTATTCTAGAATTTTTCTCTAGATAGAAAGAAAAACAAAGAATTGTATTTATTTCTCTTAATTTCAAGTTTAGGTCGGAATTACTTCGTTAAAGAAAAGTCGAAGTAGTCGCAGGATTTAACCCTTCTTGATTCAAAATTCAGATAGGAATTTCTGCAATAAAAAATCACAAGAATTAGCGAAATTTTAATATTGACATTAAAAATTTAGGGTGAAGTTTCTTCATTATACAAAAAGTAAAATAAGTAGTTGAATTTGTTCATTGAACAAATGCAAAACAAATTGATGAGGTTTATTATTTTTATCTGAACTTTATTTTAAATTAGCATCTTTGAAGGAAAAATAATACAATTAGTTGGATTTTATTAGTGCACTTCCAACTTTTGTTCGCAATTTCTTCGTCTTAGAAAAAGAGAAACAAATAACTTAAACATCTTAGTTTTTTAAACTTTAGCTCGAAATTTCTTCGTTAAAAAAAACAAAGCAGGGACTTTAAAATAACGTTAATTCCGACCTAAACTTGAAATTAAGAGAAATAAATACAATTCTTTGTTTTTCTTTCTATCTAGAGAAAAATTCTAGAATAAAGATCGAAATAAATAATACAATGCAGCTTTTTCAATTTTTATTATTAATAAAATTCCGCTCTATACTTTGTGTTATGAGAATGAANGGAAACAGTTGGGTGGGGGGGTGGGTGTGGATGCGGGGGTGTGGGTGTGGGTGTGGGTGCGGGTGTGTGGGTGTGGTTGTAAGTATCCTCTTGAACCACACCCACACCCCACACCCACATCCACACCCACACCCACACCCACACCCACACCCACACCCACACCCACACCCACACCATCCTGTTCAAAATTTTCACACGTTTCTATCCAAATATTTCTCTGAATTGAAAAGGTAAGATCCTCGGAAAATATACTGTAAATTCTGTCAAGGACTTTAACTAGATTTGGAAGCAGAATTATGAAAATATTGTAGCAGATTCTGTTTAGATTTACGAGGAAGAAATCTGAATTTTATTCATTCATTATTTATTTAATACGTTTAGGAAATCAAAATCAAATCGTCGTAGTGCAGAATTCAAACGGAACGACAGCGGTTAGCCATACTCACACACGTTGTCTTCAAATCGTCTGTGGTTCACTGCCTCTACTCTCGCATATAGCCATGAAATCTAGTCGCATTGAGGTATTATTTTCATCCTTGACCGAACCTTCAATTCTTCTACGAAAGATTGAGCGAATGGATGGATCTCTTCAAAGCCATGGTAAGATATCGCAACGTTACTGTCGTACCACTTGAACACTGTCGTTTCCGTAACACATTTTTGATCGAGGAAGAATTGAGTAAGTACTGCAAAAAGTCGTGCTATTGAAGAATAAGTCATCTATACTTTAAAACACATTTCTGAAATGCATTCTTACATAGATCATCGGCTTTGCCATTGAATAAAAACAGTTGTAAGGCCACCATGACAAACATTTCATCCATAGCTGTAGCGATTCGTTTTTTTATCGTCCAAATATGTGTGGTTAGAATTGTGCTCTTATCACTTGGACTAGTAGTAGTGGACCATGCTTCGAGATAAGCACGAATCACTCCAATTAACCTGTCCTCTTTCTTTGTTCTCTGAAACAGTGACATCATAAAACATCATATCAATTTCTTTCGTAGCACGGTGTTAAGCTCCTTTGCTATCGCACCTTATTTAACACATTCAAGGTGTTTTGAACTTTCAACGAACAGATCTAATGTCCGCGCCAGAATGAAAGAGGGGTGGAGAAAAGCGCAATATCTCGATGACGGCAATACCAAGCGACCTGCGGTTTTCATCAGTTGCAAGAGGGCAAGTCAGGATATATTTTTCTCCCGACCATGTAAAAGTCTAAATTCTTTTAAAACTAACTAAATTCGAAAAATATGTAAAAGAATGCATGAAAATGACCTGCTATCTAAGTGGAATTTTGATTTTTACTTTTGATTTAGATAGAGAAACCTGAGATCTATGGTTCAAGATACGATGCAAATGATTCTCTTATTACATTCTAAGGTTGAAGAAATGGAAGAATTTATTTTTATGCACAAATCATAGGAAGTTTTGCTGTTTTTTATTAATTTTTCACACTTTTTACCTTAATAGCTTGATATTTTGATGAAAACTTAATGAAGAGTAGAAAGCACATCTTATCTGAAACTGTAGATCTCAAGTCCCTGTATCTGAATCAAAAGTCAAAATCAAAATTTCAGTCAGATGGCATGCCATCCTCATGCATTCTATTTTATACTTTTCGAAGATGATTAGTTTTAAAAGGATTTCTTCCTATAGATAATCGAGGAACAAGATATTCCAACTTCTCCTCTATCAATTGGTGAAAGCTGCAGGTCATTAACTATTGTCGTTAACTATTGTTGTTATCGAGATATTGCGCTTAGACCCAACCCTCTTTCATTATGGCGCGGGAATTAGTATTACCATACTTGATAGTAAGCATTGAGTGCATGTTCGCTTATCAGTGGCACAACACGGAAGAGCTCGATCAACTCTGGTGCGGCTGCAACACTGCGACGCTTCTGTAGGTGGAAGCGAACACTTCCATTCTCGCTGAATATCGCTTGCTCGGTCGATGCCGCTAGTGATATTGAATTTGACGGCACTACTAGAAAACCAGACGATAGAAAACACATTTATCTCGGACAGAAACTATGTTCATGAAGAATAATATCACCGTTTTCTTGAAGCATCTGTATAAATGGTTTAGCTAATCGCTGTGCTTGTTTAAATCCGATGTAACTAAACACATCTTCGCTATTATACCATTGCAGCAAGGCACGTTTAATTGTACACTGGTTGCCAAGAAGAAAGTTCAAGATGAAGGCCATGATTTCCTCTAGAGAATCGAGTGCACTCTTGTAATCATGTCGTAGAGAAGACGAAAATTGTAAACTTACGTGGGGGAGCAGTGATATTCGTAAAGTAACTTTCATTAAAGAATACTTGCACTCCCAAGACGACTTTTAGATGACATGAATCATTAGTAATGTATTTTTTAATAGTTACTAAATATTGATGGAATATAGCATCTTTCTCGGCTACCTTCTGCTGCTTGTGCCATGCTGCCAAATAACAATGCACCAGTATTTCTAATTTAAAATGATCCTTTTGATTCTAATAGTGAAAAAAAACATGTATATATAAAAGAAGTCTATTTAACTCCTAGCATACTCGAATGTAGGCATCGATTTCGGCCTTGCTTTGTACTACTGATGACGTATTGCTGAACATTTTGACGAGTCGCTTGAGCGCATGGCCCTTGCGCTGATTTTTAAAGACAATATTTGGATAATGCAACAGATAAGGCGACACATCAGGTAATCGCTGCCGATCTATTGATAAATGGCTCTGAATCGATTTCTGTAGATCTGTTGAAAATTTTTCTCGTTAAAAAAACTTGCTATCGTAAAAGATAGAAAACATCATCTACAGCGCTAACTTGTGTTAGAAGCATCGTATCGAAGATTTGTGTCGAAAAATGACTGCAAAATATTTTATTGCACTAGACAAACTATCACTTTGAATCGAATAATTTGGCATGCTCTCTGAGCGAACAAGCGTTCTTTTGGTTTAATGCTTCACAAGATTCGATAAGTTACAATACAGTACGAATCAAATATATGAAGACTCGTGTATAAGAATCTGCTTCTCAGATTTGACCAAGAGTTCAAAAATGCTGAGAATTAGAGATCACTTACTCGATATTGTTTCAATAAAGTTTTCTTCCATTAAATGGTTTTCATTTTGTTTTGTTTTAGGCTGCTTTACTTGTATCCGACCGACGAGCGACTGCGTTGGAACATTCTCGGAAATTTCAATCGATGAGTATTCCTCTAGTAGCTTTCGAATTTCTTTCAGCTTTTCAACCCAGTGCTCCAAATCTATTTCTGTGTAGTCGTCGGATTCTCGCCTTAATTGGAGCTGTTCAGCCACTTGACGAAGAGTTGGGTGTAATTGTTGTTTGCTATGTTCAATCAATTCGCGCACATCGGCTCGAGCTTTCTCTGCTGCTTCTTGAATGTTTTTGATGGACTTTTTTTCCCAATCATCTATGTGAGATAGAAGAGATTGTACATTATTTTCTTGAAGAAGATCTCGTCGAAGAAGATCATGCTCTTGTCCAATATCATCCATTTTTGCGGTCAATTCATGACGATGTTCGATGAAGTGTTTTCCGCAGAACCATCTTTGACATCCACCACAAGTTGCAACACCTCCACTTTTGTAACATGTCATGCATGCTTGTTTCCATGCAGCTGATGCCATGTTTGATGTTCTGAATTGTGCAATAAAAGTTTTTGCTGATAGTCAATAAAAACTCTTGATGGAATAACGAAACGGCTTTTTGGAAAATGAGTAACAAGTTTTTTCGATGTCGGGACACTATTGTTTGATATGATATGATAATTTGAGTCATACTCTTGACGAAAACAAGACTAAGTCAGACGAATCATAGGTGAGTCCAAAGATTGAAGAATGATGACAGATCGACAGATGTCCTTGCTATTCATCCCAAGTCAAATATGACAAGTAGAACAACGATATTGGACGATTAGCTGACTCGAGGATGGGTGCGGGCGAAGGAACGATGGGGTCGTATGAAGTGAATCAGCGTTGGCGTCAGCCAAACTGGAGTCCACAATTCGCATTTTACCGCATCACTTATATATAACGCAGAAAGTTATCAACAAGTATCATCGGTTGTTTTTAAGTGTTTCGAAGATGCTTTATAGATTGTTTTCTTGACCCTTTTGAGCACTATCTAGTAGTGGTATTCGTAACTTTTTAAGGGTTACTCATGGTACCTTTAGCAACTATTTATGTGGTACCATTAGTAAGTTTTTAAGTGCTACCCAGGTACCCTCACAAGGGAAATCGCTCGACGTGTAAACTGGTGTTTGAGATGAGACATTCCTCTTTGGGGAGGATCTATTGAAGGTAGAATAATCTAGAAGGACTTATAACTACTCACTGTCCTTCGGAAGTTATAGCCATTTTTCCTGTTTTTTTTGACAAGATGTAAATCTTTAAAAAGACGAAAAACAGTCAATTCTCAAAGAGTTTACTATACGTGGCACTTTCATAACCCTGCTTACGAGTGTATGATTCTGATAAACCTTTTCATATACCCTTCCGAAGAATTTTCGAAAGGGTTCAAGACATGCTTCTATACCGGAAAAAGTGGTATAGGAAACCTATCCTATATCCACAATGGTTCACTTAACAAAAAAATAAGAATCTGTTCCTATTTCTCAACTAAATAAAGAATGAGAATCTATGTATACGTCTCCAGTAAATATAAATAGAAATCTGTTTGCGCATCTCATTTAAAGAAAAAGATAAAAAATCTATTTCTTTATCTCAANTCAGAGGAAACCAATCTTTTTGACGGGAGCGATAGACCAAATGCGTATTTCGCTAATTCTAAGTGTTGTTTTACACGAAATTTTAAAAAAAGCATACATAAGGTGTTATGAGACTAGATGAAGAAACCGTGACAAACAGAGACCGAATAGTATTAATGCGAATATGAGTTCTAGATTTTTATTAATTACTGAATTCGGATTACGATTACGATCATTACATGTGCAGATACATTGAAAATATCGAAGCAAAATTACATAATATAAATATATTCATCGCAGAAATTTAGAATGTTATTGCTATATGTTCAACAATCGATATGAAGATTCGTTAATATTCTTCCTCGTTTTCATATGAAGGTTTTAATAACTGCAATTCATGCTCATGTTCTTTTCTTTCTTTACATGCTACACACAAATCATAATCTCCGCATATGTTGCAGTGATATCTCAGTCCTCTCAATGGAGAGATGTTACATCCACCATCACAATATACGTGATACCAAACAAATTCTTCATCCGGTAATCGTGGACAAATCACTTTTTTGCCACAACACCAAGATTCTATTGCATTCAACTTCATTTGACTAATTATTTGATAACCATTGTTTGCTAAAATTTCACCCGTTGATGTATTTAAAATTATTAATGTTGGAATTCTTTGTATATCAAAGTATTTGTCTAATCTGTTTATTAGGATTATCGAATCTTGTTCACGATAGGGTATTGCTTTCCATGGCATTTCTTTATAATGTTCATTGAATGATTGTTTATCTAAGTCATACAACCATATATAAATTATATCAAATGATAATGATTCATGTCCATCATTGGAAAACATCTGGTTATATATGTCAGCTAACTGTAAAGTAAAATGACGACCGAAAGATGAATGATCTACAAAATATAATCCGATAGCTGTATTATTTTTAAGCAAATCAGATATAAGAATACGTTCTTCAGTCGGATTACCATTTGTAAGAAGTTCTCCATCACCTAATATTTGTCTCATTGAATAGCGTTGATTCGGAGCTAAAGGATAACTAAGTGGATCTCTAAATTGAAATTTACAAGACAATTTATAAATGAAGACGAAGTCATTTATTGTTTAGTCGTACGTGTGCTAATATATATTTCAAATAAGCGAAATTAAAATCTCACTAGTGCTTTTTCTGATTTTATATTCTTTGAGAAAAACTTTTAGAATTCATCTCGATCATAGTACTTACTCATTTTCTAGGCGTTGCTCAATTTCATGAATACAATTTTGAATGGAACTTATTTCTTCTGGCAATGAATTAGTTTTGCAGATATTCAATGCTTTTTCTAAGTTAACTAATGCGTCAATATAATTTCGAAAACCATTGGAATAAGCTAAACCAATGCCAATATAGGTGGCAATAATTGCAGGCTGGTTTGGTGCCGAAATCGATAGACTTTTTAGCGCTTCCTTATAATTTATCAAGGCCAGCTCGTACTCATCCATATGACTGTAGAGATCAGCCATGCTCGATAGTGTTTTTGCTAGATCTGGATGATCCGCTGGTAACGAAATCCTAAATATTTCAATTGCTTTTTTATAATTGATTAATGCTTCGTCATAATTTTGAAATCCACGCTCATATATTAAACCTATGTTTTTATAAATGACACCAGTAGTAGAGTGGTTTGGTTGACATTCTAGCTGAATCTTTAGTGCTCTCTCATAGTACTCCATAGCTAGGTGATATTCATCTCTACACCGATGTAAGAAACCAATATTGGTAAGTAATGATACCAGAGCTGGGTGATTAGATTTTATAGAAGCATTTTCATAGATTTTCAATGCTTTTTCATAGTTTAATAAAGCTTCGGTATAATTTTCGAAGCCAACAACATATCCCATGCCAATGTTATTATACGTAATTGCAGTTTCAGGATGATCAGGCATACAGACCAATTGAATAGATAATGCTTTTTGAAAGTTAATCATAGAAATTTCATATTCTCTAGCATTTTGTTGTGCTAGTGCAATGTAGTTGAGCGTAGTAGCGAGCTTTGGATGATTTTTAGGAAGTTCATGCATTTCAATTGCTAAACATTCATTCATATGTTCTACAGCTAAATTATAGTTTCTTAGTTCATTATAGACAATACCTATGTTGAGATATGCTGCAGCTAATAGAAGACCTTGTGGACCTTCTCTACTTAAGTCCAATTCAAAAATATTCGAATATTGTAATAGTGCTTGATCATATTGATCCTGTTGTTTTAAGACATTGCCTAAATTATTAAATATATTACCGAGATTATATTTATGACGTAATGGTTTCTGAAGTTCGAGTTCAAGTGCTTTTGAGTAATTGAAACGAGCTTTTTCATAATCACCATAACCATAATATGCAATCATGCCCAGATTGCTATAGCATGCCGCAAGGTTTTGATCAGTTTCTGACAATGAATTTAACATATTTTGAAAGTATCGTTCAGCTTCAAAATATTTTCCCATGTGATAATATATATTACCCAGAGATAATAAATCTGTTTCGTCTGGAATCTCGTTTTTCATATATTTAAAAACTAATTTTAAATCGTTTTCTTCCTCGTTAGTTAATTCCAATTTAACTATCCACAATTTTTCTTCTTCATTTCTTGAAACATCGATAATCTTAAATATACTTCCAAGCATAAATAATATTTCTTGTTCTTCTTTATCAAACGCACTACGTCGACTTATATCTGCAAATGGTTTAGCATCTACTAGACAAGTATTAGCCTCAATGTCAAACAGTACACTTTCTTCTTTTAAACTTGAATTATTACTTCTTGCACCAGCATAAATTTCTGATGCCAATTGTCGATTTATTGTTGTCGAAAAGAAACTATTCATCGAAATAAATTTTCCAATATTAATTTTCATTTTTTCGAGTTCTACAGTTGACATCAATTGTCCTCGGTAAACATGAACAATTGCAGATTCACTGACAGATTTTGTTTGCTCCGATTTCAATTGATTATAAATATCATGAATAAAAAAAGATAAAGTTACTAATGTATGATCATCTCGGCATCGTAAAGCACGATTTAATGTACGATATAGAAATGAATCACGTGTATACCAGTAGAGTGCAGCTGGTGCATCATAATATTCTTCCAATTCATCAACAATCTTCAAATCATTGGCATTACCATTATATTGTTTTCTACAATTTGCCATAAACAAATTGAAATAGTTCTGACGAGTTGTTTCTGTCATTTTTAATAAAACTTCAACTATCAACTGAGACCACATGAAATCACAATCAAGGTTTTGATGTGAATACTCTCTCGAAGATCTTATTGTTTCATTCGTTGTGTTTCTCATACTTGCTTGACTAAAAACAGTTATATTTAAATTTTGTTTTCTAGCAATGTTATTTCGTTTTATTTGATCATTCATAATACTGTCTAATAATTGAACTCTGCCACTGGTGACTTTCTTAATCTAAATATACAGTTTTACGTGATGAAATATAAGCAATAATTTGGTTTTTTCTACTTGAAAACTTACTTTTTCGTAATCTTTTGTCCATACTTCATGTTCTTTTAAATCCAAACAGAATACATAAATAGCAATTACTTGTAATAAATCATGAATATCTGGCACTAAGTTTCTTCCAATACAACCAGATACAATTAAAATGATTTCTTCATTCGACTTTCTTTCTATATAGAGTTTACATAAATCGGCTGACTCAAATGTTTTTAAAAAATTGATTGATTGACGTAATTCTACTTGTGTTTGACGATTGTCATCTGTTGTATTAACTTGCGCATCACACCATAATAAAGTGTAAGTTTCGAGATTTTCTTGTTCTTTTTCTTCTTTGAATTGTTCCATTGGACTTATGTTGTCAACAAAGACATTTGATTTACTACCATCAAATAACAATCTATCGACCTTCTCAATTAAAGATGTTAATAATATCAAGACTTCCATGTCAACCATTTTGAATTGTGTAAAAATCAATGATTAATTTTCTGTTTCATGTACTAAAATATTAGAATGATACTATTTAATTGATGGTTAGTATCTATTCAAGTGCTTCACATTTCTTTTTAGAGTGCTGCAAAAGACTGTTGTCTGCATTACACACATGCGCACATGTTCTTTTTTCAATAATTTTTCGGAGAATGAGTAAAAATACAAGAAATCATTTATTTTCTTTTTCTTTTCACAGCACATTAAACATTTACATTTTTTTTTGTGAACTCAAGTAAAAAACATTTTTTTGTTTTTTCTATTGTGCAACGAACATTAGACTTCGCTCAGCACGAAAAAATTTTCTTACTTCCAAAAAGCAACACAAGTCCGAGTTTTTACGATCAATTTTTTTTAGAGATCTGCTAATAAGTAACGCGGATATGCGTATTTATTAATGACTGGCTAGTTCTGGAGTAAGTAGATCTCTGATTTTGACATTAAATGTTGCCTCTTTCTTGATTATGTTTATTCATGAAGACTATAACATTCGCCCACATCTCGATGTGACCAATTGCTTTTAACAGTTAGATACTTACCAGTTACTTGTTGACATAAAAATAAATAGCTTATTTCACTTACACACTGAGAATCAACTCTGTCTGTTTATACTTTCTGTCAACCACATGCTTATGAAGAAGTAATTGATGGTGTCATTTGTGAACCTGTTGTGTGGAAAGAAGTAAAAGAACGGAGGAAGACGAGTAAAGAACAGAAGAGAAAAACAAAAGTAGATATGTAAACATGCATTTTCAATTTCAGCGGAAGTCGTCATATCGTAGGTTGAATTTTTATTGGTCGTATTTTTTTCTAGTCAACATACATTGATCGTGAGTAGGTTTTCATGAACATTTTCATTGCGTAACTCGTCTTCGAAACTACGAATCAGACAAAAACAATAATAATATATCAGAATGAATGATTTTAATTAAGTATTTCTTTTTCCAGTCTAATATAAAAAGCAGTTTGTGATTGTATTCTAATGAATTATGTTAAATTATTGAATAACTTTATCTGTGATAAAGATCGGCAATATCAAAACATAATTTATCTATTTAATATGTTATTAAACTTATATGATTTAGTCCTTCTAATGGTTCATAGTGTTAATGATTTATAATAATTAATAGAGTCGAATATTGTCTTACATTTATTTTCAATTTATATAGCCAGTATATTTCTTCTTCAGCATATGAAATAATTTTTGATAATAATTGATTGAAAACAATATGAGTAATCATGATGATATTACGTAGTTAACCTTGTATAAAATTTTTACTTAGGTTTCATAAAAGATCTTTAATATGCAGACTGTCAATTATAAACTCTTTGGCGATGTCTTATAGCGAAACGTTAAATGTATTTCATGATCGAAATGATAGTAGCGTTTTTATCAAAGTCAAAAATATTTAAAAAGCTGATCATTTTAAAAGCTTTTAAGAGAGAAAGAGAAACAACAGTACCTATTCCATGATATATAGTCGAATTTCTTTTTTTTTATTCAGAAATATATACTATAGTTGAAGTGAGAAAGTCATCACAAAATGAAATATTTCAACATTTGTCATCCTAATATTAATCTAGTCATAAATAAATACACAACAAATGAAGCTCAGCAAAATTCTTAATCATCAGGCAAAGAATTTTTTTCCAATTCATGTTGATGTTTATTAGTAATATTCAAACTGACTTTTTTTGAATTTATCAGAAGTTTATTATTAAGAAATAAATGTATGACTATCATTCAATAATAAAGGATGGAGTGTGGGTATGCCTGTAGTTCGTCTACCAACCATATTGACACTCATATCCCACATCCTGTACATCACGCATACTTTCGTTTTTTACCTCAGTAATCTAGCATGAGCCGTAACGAAATGGTGATCGTTTATCAAGTTATTTTGAGAAATTTGGTAAAATTTTATCATGTACTGTAGCAAAAGATAGAGATAATAATACTTTTCGGTTATGCATTTGTTGCATTTCATGATCAAGATGTTGTTGATAGAATTATACAAAATATATCACATGATACTGACGATATAGCATTAGAAGTACAAAAAGCAGAAGATCTAACATGTAGCTCTCGGCAATCATTACCAAGATCGTTCAGGTGAAGATATGTGGCAATTAANCCGATTTAATGGAATGAAACCAGCACATGGTGCTCGATAAAGAGTTATTAATTGATTTGAATTGTTTAGTGTTGCATTGATATAAGATTTAGCACAATAACCACAAACTGGATTTGAAACGATACAATTGATTAAGTTTTTATTTCCTTCTAATGAAAAATTAATGATAAAGTCATTCGTTGTATCTTCGAAATCGATTGGTAGTTTTAACCAAAGAACAAATGGTCCTTGTTCCATACAAATAGCACATTTTAATAATGGAACATTTGTATGATCTAAAATATCAATTGTATCAGAATATTCATCATCATTTGTTGTTAATACTTTTGCTCGATTAGCACGATTTGAAGAAAATGTAAAATCATTAATTGAATAAGAACCTGTTTCTTGTTCATGAATTAAATTTTGTATATTATTCCAATATTGACGAATCTGATTAAGATTTGTATTTGTATAATTAAGATATTCAACTTCTTCAATTTTAGCTTTATCTGATATTTCATGAAGTTGTTGACGAAGCTGATTCAATTCAAATGAATTTTCATTTTCATTTTCATGTAATTTTAATTTAACAATATGAGAAACAATTTCATCACGTTGTTTTAAATATTTCAAATCATAATTCGATTTTAATTTTTCTTTCTCAATTTGTATTGATTTATTTTTCATATGAGAAACAAATACTCGTAATTCATGTAATTTATTACTAATTTTTGCAAATTGAATTAATGTTTTCCAATCACTTTCATTTAAATTTAATACTAAATTTATATCTTTTATATTTAAAAATTTATTGTAATCAATTGCAATAAGCTCTTGTGTATTATCACGTATTGGAATACACCCATCAGGAATTTTTGCATCTTCATAAATTTTTATTTCATTAAATAATTCATTTATATTTAATTTATTTAACTTTTCATAATCAGTTAAATCATTAGATGATTTATAAAATTGACTAATATAACCTTTTGATGAAAGAATATAAAATATTTTACCATCATAGAAAAGACATAAAACATTTGATGCCATCATTAATGGTGCAACAACTGAAACATTGATTCCCGATGGTGTTGATAATCTGTTATGAACAATTATACAAATAACTAATGCTTTGTTTAAATTCTCTTTTGTATATGTTGCAAACTAAATTTGTGAAATATTTTTAGTTTTAAAAATTTCAAAAGAAAAAAAGCTAATGTTCAAAATAAACTGCACACTTTACATAATAACTCATTTATTATTTTACTATTCTTTAGGAACAATTCAAACTTTAATTCGTTGTTTCAGCTGATACTGACTCTTGAAAAAAAAAATCCCGATGAGCTTAGAAAAAAACTGAAGTGTTTCTTTCCATGAACCTCTGAAGCCCAGCTATGATTGTTTTATTGAAATTTTGATGGAATTTTAGGCATTTACCGGAAGATCAAATAGTAGAATTTCATCCATTGATAGGTCTAATGACCATTGGAATATTGTGAAAGTTTCAATCGAAAAGAATGTTCTTATGTCGAGGTATTCAATTTTTTGACTATGAGCTAGTTGTTGGAAATTCATTATGGTGGCAATGGAACTTTTTTCTCTGAAACTTTGATGGTATTCTAATAGTCATTAGACCTATCTATCTGTGGACTGAATTTCGGGTCAAAATTTTATTATTTGATCTCCACAGTAAATGTCTAAAAATGAATCGATAACTCAATAAAATGGTCAGATTTGGCTTCAGAGATCCATGGGTACGAATTTTTTAAATCTTTTCCTAATGTTACCGAGACTTGTTGTGGACTCAATATGAGCTTAAACGATGGATCATAGTTGAAGTAGTTACCTCAAAGTAAAATAAAGTATCTACGAAAATAAACCGCTTGTTTTTCAGTATGTATAATTCTGTGCGTATACGAAAAGTCTTCTAGACTTGATAATGTTTTTAAGTAGACTTTTATCTAGATACATGAAAATATGCGGTAACAGGATTGTCGAAAAGTAATTCGAGAACACTGAATTCGCATCAGAATAATATGTTCTTTTCTAAAGATGACTTCAAAAGCTTTTATAGAACTTCCGGGTTTAAGATTTGCCCGAAGTAGAAGCGACAACTATTTTCAATATATCGAATGAAAGAGCAACTATTTCTCTGTAAAATATGATACTCATAATTAATTTGCTCCGAAGCATTCGTCAACCGTGAATATTTTGATAAGGTACACTTAATCAATTTAGGTCATTTTCTCGATTTGTATAAAAAAAACCAGGCCTTCAAAAGAAGCTCGGCTGTTCCTGAATGATTATTCTGAAATTCTCGATTCTTCTATTACTCTGTAGAGAAGAATTTCGTATTTAATTCTATAAAAAAAAACAAATCGGTAAAATAGTATATGCACGAAATAGAGATTATTGCTGAAAAAAACTGTCAACTTTGTCCGTGCAAACTTAATTGTCACATTTCTAAAAAATCAATTCAGAGCTCATAAACCAAAAGTCTCAGAGAAATATTAAGTCTATATTCGAAAACAATACGAAATTTTGATTCAAACTCAATGCTTTCAAATCTCTTCTTGTCTATATAACAATGTTGAAAAGCACTGAAAAAGCTAGATACACTCACTACCCAAAATCGTAAAATTCCAAATAAATTATTTAGCAACGAGAGAAAATTCAAAAGCATGAGAGATTCGACTCATATGTAAAATCCATTGTTTTTCTTTGATTGAAGCATAAATTCTTCTATTTTAAGTAGATAACAATAGTTTTACACTTTGTTACTAAACTCTTCGCTCCTAAAAACCTTAAACTCTCCTCTATCATCAGGAAAAAAATTCACTCATCTGGCAAATATATGATAGAAATGTATGAACTATTTTTTGGTAGGTGACTTTTGGAACAAACTGTAATTCAGCCAATTAATGAAGAAGGACGCAGGTTTCATGTGAAATAATTAGGTTTCTTTTTACTAAAAATTAAAGGGGAATTTCAACTTTAGCTTTTTAATTCGTTTGAAAATTCTTTAAAAAAAATTGCAATGATCAGACATTCAAAGAATGTAAAATTGATATTAATGAAAAAAAAATCATTAGCGATGATCGGATGCCATATTAATCCATATTTTAGCTAGATTAAGTTCTTCGAAAGCTAAAATAATCTCTAAAATTGTTCATCTCTATAGTCTTGCTAGATAAAAATTTAATATGTAATCGATATGAGCATTAGAGCATGGTAATAAAATTTCAAATCTTCACGTAAGAGCAGAGCTAGAGAATCAGTCAATTCTGTCTTATTTTCTCAAAATAACTATCAAATCGAATAGCTAACGATATCTCTTCGTTAGATCAAATGACTTTATGTCAAACTGTAATTACTAAATGACGAGACAAAGATAATTGCGTTCAATACACAAAGACCTTATTCTTGTAAAGAAAATTCAAATTCTTAATTTACTTCTTTTCTCCTTTTACCTGTGTTACACTACTATTACCGATTTCTCCATCGGTAACAAAAACAATAACATCAGATTTATTGAATGCGTTTTTCGTTGATTCATTTTGAAATATACATGTTGGGTTTGTACCACCGGCTGGTGTTGCTGTTTCAATATTTGTACATAATTTAGCTGATGTATTCCACAGAACAACATAATCAAATTGAGTAGCTTGACAAATACTTAATTCAGCTTGTAAAACATCTTTTCCTACAGATGCCAATTGATAAGATGTTGAACCAGAATTATCAATAAATATACCGGTAATAAAATCTAAACAATATAAAATATCCTTGTGAATTAAGATATGTCATGTAGAAATTTATCAAAATGATTAGTTATTAATTAAAAAAAAAAAAGAACAAATAATAAATCATTACTTTCAAAACAAAAAGAAATTACCTTTTATCGTTTTTAACTTAAGTTCAGCTTTTGGAATCGTAACTAAATATGATGACATCATTTTGTGTTTTGTGCAGCAAACAAACAAATAAGAGAACACTTATATGTGACAAAATCTTGCACAATCTATAAGAAATGAACACTTAATAAATTATTTCATGTCAGAATTCGATAGAGCAATCATGAAAAAAAAAATTGTAACGATAAAAACTATGATCAATGTGCTAACAATAAGGGTACGACCTATCCTCTTCTCCTATTGGTTCAATGTTCTCGAAGCAATCGGCCACTATGCTGCTATAGCCTCTATGACCTCATGACCGACGCAGCTGCCTGCTCACATTGTCCTCTATTCATAATTTTCTCTCTTTTCCCTATTTTCCTCTCTCCTACATAAAGTCGTCTTCTGTGTGAAACAGACACAACTGGAATGATGGAGTACTGTACCTAGTCAGACAAAATCGATAAAAAAAACCCGTTAAAACGCTCATAAACAGTATCATATACCAATCATACATCTTTCTTCTCTGTCGTTCTGTTGATATTCATCGATGGCATGCATCTATTTTCACTATCTCTTTTCGATCTTTTCTAGTGCATTTCTCTTTTCTGTTTACTTTACATCGTATGCATATCATTTCTCTCTTTCATTCCTTTTGTAGATGACGTCATATCTGGTCTATTTTCAATATTTTTTGTCCAGAACCTTCGAGAAGGTTATTATTGTCCCAGGATCTCTAGTATATATATATACACCCTTGTCCTTATGATATTCATTCTGTTCAGTTTCTATCTAATGGTCAGTTGCAAGTAAGGGACTTATTAGAAAATACACGTTTGCATATGGCGATTTTTTCAGAGATAAACGTTACGAATAAAGCGATAGTCTCAGTAGTTTCCGTCGATATCAAAATATACTGTTATGGAGGACAACTGTTTTTGAAGATGTCAGTGATGAAGATAGTCTTCTTTTCACAGAAAGTGACTCAGAAACAGAAAATGCTGATAGTCAAACATCAGAAGAATTAAGTGAAAACATTACACACTCAAAACGTCAACGGTGTTCGCTTTGTGATCGTTCCAAAGATAGAAAAGTTCGAAATAAATGTTATCATTGTTCAGAACCAGTTTGTAATGAGCACTCTGTTCAGCGAATTTTTTGTATTAACTGTTCTAAATAAAGAAAAACTATAATTCTAATAATTGCTTTATAAGACTGAAGAGGAGGATAATCTAATTTTGGCAAGAATACTGGTCCGGTAATCAAAATCATAGAATACAAACACATGTTATCATATTATCTCTAAAAATTAGCTTGGGCATCCGAGGGTTAAACACGTTGCGAACGCGTTTAAATTTTCGAATGGATTTTTAATCGTTCAAAATTCTAACTCATAATAACTCGTAGAAACATTCAATTTTATGGTGTCACTTTCATTAGATATATCGACTCGTTTCTACGACGTTAAATATTTTTACGCGTTTCCAACGCGTTACAATGTGCGCCTTTAACGTTTGACAAATTTTTTAATAATTTGAACGCATTTTTACACGTTCGAGTTTTTATATAAAGCGATCTAATTAATGAAAAAGCAACGATTCTATACTTCAAGGTTTGTTGAGAGATGGCCATGATAATTTCTTAGCTGTTTCAGTTTCCGTCCCATCCTTCGCAGCTGTTATATAGATTAGGTTTTATTATCGATTAATCTATTGCAAACTATGCAATAAAATTGTTTCCGTAATTCAAATTCAAAAAAATTAAATGAATTACGAGAAAATTTTCATGGTATAGTTTGGAATATATTAACAGATAATAAAATCTGATCGAAATAACAGCGATAAACGATTGAAATGAAACTAAAACAGCTAAGAAGTCATTATGGTCATTCTCAACGAATCTTGAAGTATAGAATTGTCGATTTTTTTAAAACAGATTGCTTAATTTTAAAATTCGAAAGTCTAGAAACGCGTAAACCTGTATGGGAAATAACTCACAAATAGATAGGATCGATTTTATTTCTAGACTTTTCTTAAGACTAATCTACATGTACATAGAACTAACTAACAACTAATCGTTATTGTGGTTCGTGTTTTTATTATCTTCGATAGTGTGTGCACGAACACGTTCAGAGACGAATAACATTCATTTTTTTACTTTAATAGCGCGAAAAAAAAATGAATTACAGACATAGTTTAGTGATATCAATTATTCTCACTGATTTCAGAAGATACAAGGATATTTATCTATCAACTAAGCTGCACTCTTACTAACTATATATAAGAACAAACGATCTACTAAATTACATGAGAAAAATATCTCAAAGTAAGAAATTTGTGGTTGAAATGAAAAGTAAAGCATGAAGAAAGATAATTATATGCGAATATGGAAGAAAAAGAGGTAATGAAAGTAAAAAAAAGATGGCATGATGTAGCAGAATGAAAAAAGCACGAAAACACGGAAAGGATTGATTAATGGATAGAAAAAAAATGAAAAAAAAGCAATTATTAAAAACTTCAGAAAAAAACGACGTTTTGATATGTTCGAAGTTCATCGACTCATGAAAAATCGAGTTTTTTAGCTAGGAATTATCTGCTCTCGATGATGATGTAATGACTTTAAAAGTGTTCAGAACTAGGTTATTCGTTAAGCTGAGTAATCCTAGAGAAATGGAATCTGATAAACATATAAGGAACATCCCCAATAGAGATTGAATTGATAAAACACATGAAAACGCGCTTTTTATATCCAGCATTAGTATATGAAATGTGTAATTCTTCCTATGCCTAACCTGTAAGAACAATATTTCTAATAATTTGTGAAAATCTTTTAACCAAATCTTGAAATGATCTCTAACAAAAGGTGGTAGTTTATTATAATCATCTAATATAAAAGAAAATTACAATAAAGAAGTAGAATATTCGTACGTTTGCTGCATAGCCTTTTCATTGTTTTTACTCTCTGCTGAACGAGAACACACAGGATGCATATTAACTAACTTCGGATAGGGCAGTTAAAAAGTTGATTGAATAAAGCCAATTATCCAATAGACATGCGATTAGTCTTGGCTTTTTCTAATCAATCGCATAAAACAATTTTGTATATTATGGTAGTTGTTTTACTATTAAAAGAATAAGTCAAATATCTTTTTTCTCTTTAAAATAAAGGCTCATACTATATTGAGTCTTTTGTATCTACTCAAAAGAAATACTTTTAAATTAATGTTTCAAAAAATTAAATAACTGTACCATAGTGTGTATACGCTCCAGAATAATTCTCATCTCTATTATGAGTAATGTCAGTGTTTAATTAAATAATTATTCACAATAGTGACTATAAAAGAGTCATTTTTCAATTATAAAACATTGAACGTTTAATTGTTGAAGACTGCAGATAAAACTCATAAAAATACGAATTTTTCATAGAAACTACTCGTTTTAACGACTCCACATCCTCTTAACGTGCTTTAACGCGTTTTTGTTTAAGTCTTATCTGACTGGGTAATGCTTGTCAATGTTTTTCTGATGAATATGATCTACCAACATTCTTTTATCAGCCATCAAAGAACCAAATCATTTGGTCAACGTGTGACAGAGACATTCAATTTGCTCGGCAAAGTGACTTTTGGATCACTCTACACTTTTTTTGAAACTTTCATGCTTTTTAATAATTTCATACAATGATGGTGGAGGTGAAAGTGTGTGCACCTTAAAAACAGACCGTATGATTGAAGATCTTCATTGGGTTTACGATTTCTCTGCAAGTCCAGGGAAAGAAGTTATCATGATTTACAGAGGATGTGAGTGTGGGTATCAATCAAGAGAAGATCCATACGACTCATCAACACCCACACCACTCTACACTAGCACAGAAGTGATGTGCGCCAAACAATTAGGTGCAGCCGCAATATCTTGCATATCATACGTTTATGGATAGTGTATATGAGGGTGCGAGTGTGGCGTGTGGGTATCGGTGTGAGGTGTGGGTGTGGTATGGCTGTGGGTGTGTATAATTGAATCCTCTTTATGTACACTCACCCACACCTACACCCCGGCTAATGTATAGTTTACGATAGAGCAGAGGTATATCGGAGCATATATAATGACAAGTTTCAGTGAAAATAGACCTCTTCATATCTCTTCCTAGGTCAATGGTTTTAGTACTAGGATTTCTGAGTTTTCAGCGGATAATATAGAAAAGACATTGTTTTCAGCTGGAAAACACCGAAACTTTATAGATAGTTAGAAGCATGAATCTAATAGCCAAATTCGACTGCCTACTGTGTCCTGTGTCTGTGGGGACTTGATGAATCCGACCACTGAATCCATTCGTGAGATTCTTGCCTCCAAATGTCTATCATTGTCTGAGGTTTTCCAGCCAAAAATGGTCATACCCCAATCATCTGGCTTGATGATATATCTTTTAATTTTTATTGACTCAGAACTTACTTATTTTAAAATATTTTTCTTTTGAGTCTATGAAAAATGGTATATTTTTATTGATGTAAACAACATTCATCATGTCCCACCACACACTCTTGAAAAGAATGGATCAAGATTAAAACCTTTCAATATCTTAAACAATACGTTCTTAGTTAACAAAAATGTGTTACATTTTTTCATAAATGCATTCTCACTCGTTTCTTTTTATGACCTTTTTCTTATGAGATGTCTTAATTTTAGCGATTAATAATGTCGATTTCTGCTAATATCATCGAATAGAGAGCCGAAACAATATTAAATCTCTTTCATATTGGAATCTATGCTTCTGTCTCTCATTGGATGTGTAGAAGGATAATTCTCAACCTTTACATCGATCCTATCGCTTCAAAGCATATTCATTCATCAAAATTGGTCCACTATATTGACTACTTCTCGTCAAAACGTTTTTTTCTTAAAAAAAGGAAAAAGAGGCGGAGAGAATTGGCAGATATTTTCGCAGTCATACTATTGTTTTCAAACTTTTGCTCTATATGAAAAACTATATTGTCTAGTTTCTTCCATAAACAGCAACAAAAAACGAGCTCAGGTCAAACTCTACAAAAAGCCAAACAAACCAAATAATTCAGGATTTACTTGATATCTTTCGGCTTTTAAAATCTAATCACTTTCTTAAAGTATGTGATTGATTGATTGTTGCTAATGAAGGTGAGATGAAACATAGTTTTGGTACCTAATACCATAATTATGGATATATACATGAATGTTTTTTCTAATACCGCAATATATATTGACCTTTTTTTATGTTTCATTTTCTTCACGATATTTTTAATTACTTCGTCATATTCTTTATCATTAGCTATAAATGAAGTTTCAATAAAAACGAATTACTTGAGTAAAACAATAGTTTTTTCCATTTCTGTTACATTTTCTCAAACAGAAGTAACTTGCATAATCATAATAGATCCATTTTTCTTTCATATCCTTTTCATAAAAACATGCCTTATATTTTCTTATGCCTTTTTAAATGTTTCACAAAACAATAATTTTCATTCATAGTATGAACAGAGAACGTTTTTTAAAAACAAAATATTTTGCCCTTGTACAATTTATATACCTTATCATTAATTGCCAACGGGTGAACATAAACCACAGTAACATGAAATTTTTCAAGTTGATCAAAATGGCTATCAAGTAGATAAAAACAATCATTAATGTCAGTTTAATTAATATGTCGTTCTTTTAAACTAGTAGATGAAAAAGTTTGAGGATGTTGCCAATCAAGTAATATTGGTGTAGATTTCCTATTCAAAGGTGCATCAAAAGATAAATAACGTAGATTAGTGAAAATAGTTAAAATATTTTTGAAGGTATTTATTGCAATATTTTCCATTAAACTTTTTCCTTTATTCTTATCAAATTTAATAACAAGTGCCAAAATTTGATTTTTAAAAATATGAGCAAAAGATGATTTGTCTAAAAATACAACACAAAATTGAAAGAGCTAATAATTGTGATACTAGTTCCATTTAAAGGAGCAAATATAATATTAATGAACAACTAGCAGATGCATTCTGAGTAACAAATAATGATAAAACTCTTATTTGTTATGAGCATCCTTCAAAAAGCTACACGACTGATTTTAATCAAAACCAATAAGAAATATTGCTATAATAGTATCGGCATCTATGTGTATTTCAAACAATCCTCGATCTATAGGCGTCATCACCTCTGCTTGAGTAATCATTTATGTACAGATATAACTCCTTTCTCGATTGAATTGCAATTTTAAAGATGAACAATTGAATATTAATTCGTGATTCTTCATGTGGACGACACGAATATTAAAACATTTTAGAAGCTTAGTCATTGAAAAACCTAGCAACGAGAACTCAAATCTTTTCAAGATACATGCCCACTATTCTATGGTTTCACTTTTTTGTACTCACATATTTTCTTTGTTTCTTAATATTTCAGCTCGATTCTAACTATTCTGCTTTCGTGTTGGAATAGTCACACATGAGTAGGATATGAAATTTGTAAATATCGAACGATTTCGATAAATCTAATTGATGATTTGCTTTTTCGCCATAAATATGTGTACAAAGGTCCTACTAACTTTATATCTTGCTAACGATAACTCCTTTTTCTGTCGATCCTTCTCAATTATCTCTCTAACATAGACTAACAAGACAACTGAGACAAGATGAAAGAAGCAATTGTCCTTGTCTTATATCTTGTAATAATTTTCTTTCTTTACCGTACGAGTGGTTCATATTAATAAAAAAAAACGAGGAATAAGAATAGAAAAGAAAAATAAAGCCGTAGCAAAGGCAGAGAACACAATTAATAAAAACTGGTTCATTCATTCTCATCAAAATATGAACCCTTTCCTATCTCTCAAAAATAATAGAAAAAAAGAAACAATAGATATGCAGTATTTCTCTTTAAAATAGAATCCGCATATTACTCGTGAATATTCATTAGTAATAGGTGCATGCGAATAGATTGATGAAGTTAGTATTATTTTTTTAATTACTTAAAGAAGAGTCGCCCTCGGCAGCAAATGAGATAGTATAACGATTCATTTTTCCTACATCTTCGTGATCAAAACGTAAACTGCGAATAGAACTCATTAGGAATTCTATAGACATTAATCAAGCTTCTTAATGTTACGTGTTACTTGTTAATTAAAATAAATGGATTTGCATTTTCTTACCATTGAAAAGATATTCATCTAGTTCTTGTTGTATATTAAAAAGACCAAGTCCATGTAAATTAGGATAGTCAGTAGTAAGAAGAAGACGTTCCATAGATGATACCTCAAGATTGAGCCATTCGACTTTATGATGACCTTTAGGTAATATATGTGAACAAAACCGATCAATCGTTTTCTTACGCATTGGATAAATAAGACCATTTGATGCACATGTCATTAAGTTTAAATGACTCATAAATATAGGATCAAGTAAAATATTTTCAAATCTTTTATTGATTCCTATTAGTGAATACAGTGCTAATGCTTTCTTCATATTCTTAAAAATCATTAAGAGTAATTCATCGGATAAATCGATTAATTGAACAATGGGATGTTCCATATTCATATTCAACCATCAATGTGCTCTTAGTCTATACGTATATACATATGGGCGCATTTCCTCCATTATGACCAATGACGTCATTGAAAATAATGATGTGTTGTTGCATTATAATAAATCGACAAAGATTGAATGAAAGAATGATGCTATTTCTCTCTCATGAATTCGACACTTCTCACTGGTTGCACACTAACAGAGTTCATTTATATATATATATATAATACAGAAGAAGGTATATTGAGAATATTATTGGTATACAGCGGGAGGAATAGTTGTGGTGCAGAAAGCCCGAAGGGAAAAATATTGAAAATTTCAACCAACAAAACATTCTTTATTTTTGACATATGAGAGTGGTGGTGAAGTTGAAAGTCTGATATGACTATCGCAGAGTGACCAAAAAAAGACTGTTCAATAATAATTTTTTTGTTAGATGTAAAAGAATATTTCTATTTGACCCATTCTATCGATAATTTTCTCTTCTTCAAAAGGATGCATAATATTCGAAGATACAATGATATACAACAGAGAAAACGACAAAACATTTGTTTCAGTAAGAAAGATTTGTCAAGGCTTTTCTCATATGTTAAACAGCTGATTCTACTTAATTAATCATAAAGATAATTAAACGATCAATCAATATTCTTCTCTTGAAATATATTGATAGGCTTTGAAAGAGGTCTAGTAGAAATGAATTTCGCTATGTGTATCTTTCAATTACTTTTGCATTTCAAATCAGTTGATCGATCGAAACATGAATTGCAGGATTGAAAGGTGCAGAAAAAAATGCTAATTCGAATAAGATGTGAATATCGTTACGAAAGAATATTTTCTGTTGACTCGTTAAATCCATTATTCATCTTTTACGATTTATTCTTTTTTCCGAATTTCAAGATTCGTGCTTCGCATCGCATTTCGTATTCGAGTTTATCTAGAATACTACCTAGTTTTCCTTTAGACTTTTCTATAGTCGACTGAATGATGAGGTTGCTAGAGTTAGCAATTTACATTTCTTAACACAAGTTAGTTGTTCGAAAAATGATATCAAACACTATTGAGCATCGACATGATGTCTTTTTAGTTCCATATAAGATAAGGTGTGGGTGTAGATGTCAGTCTCCTCTTCACCCGCATTTACATCCACATCCTCTTTGATAGTTACTTCTCACTTTAGTGAAATATTCTGTAAGACTTCTGCTACCATCGGTGAGTCATATTGATTCTAGATTCAAATTAAGTTATTGCTACATGAGAAAACTCGACATCATCTATGCAATAGGTTGGGTAACAATTATTAGATGAGTATTTCGTCACAACTCTGGATTTGTAGCAGACTTTTTATATGACAAGCGAATTGTTGACTAATCGAAGAAAGATTCAAAATGTCGTTTGTTCATATGGATGTTTTGAAGCCACACTGTTCTTTTAACACTCGAGCTGTGCATGCAACTAAACTCTTAGAGAGGACGAAACCTCATAAGGATTGATCTTGAGAGTTGAATTAAGTCTATCCAGAATTCAATCCTGCCTAGGTGATTGCGTCATATGACTTCATCATAAGCTCTCTTTATCACTTAAAATAGTAGACCCCCTGAAGTCTGAACAGATTAAATAACTTTATTTGTTCAAGGCTATCTACTCTTCTCACTATCACAGAACCAAAAGTCTATTGAGATTCAGAATGAGACTCTTGTTCAACTCAAAGGCTGTAATGTTGGCTATTTAGTCATCTCTTGCCCACATTTATTCCTCTGAAAATGACAATTCTTGATGCTTTGTTGTTTGGGTTAGTCTCCCCGCTATATAAATTGAATAAAACAAAAAAATAAACTAAGTTAAAGAAAAAAACTAAAATATATGGATAGAAACAAAGAATCAGTATGAACAATTTTCTTTCTTAAAAAAAATCATTCAGAGAAAAACACATGAAAATCGATTAGATGATGAACTGAAGGCAAGTTTTCTTCCAATTTTTTAAAATGTTTACAATTATTTTAATGAGTTGAAATTTATCGATAACCAAATTATATTATAAATAATTAAACATGTTAATGTTGTCATTAAACTAAATAAAAGTACAATTTTATAGTTTTATTTTGTAAGAACTTCTAAAAGTTGATTTCTAAAGAAGAGAATAAATTTATCTAGTGTAGCAATGCTCTGACACATAAGTTATACCATAATGTATGTAAAGAACTAAAATTAATAATTTCGATGTTTGTTGATCGTTTCTGTATTTCAATTTAATTCGTTGATTTAGTATCGTCAATTGATGTTTGATGAATTTTTTTATCTGAATTCATGTAAAGACCTTCAGAAGAAAAAGTATATTGATTGAAAGCGTTCAATACATATAAAGATAATAGTCGAACTATTGAAATACATTCAACATATTTTCGTGCGAAACGAAACCATCTTATGTCACAGAGTCAAATATAACTTGAATAATGAAAAATTAGGCGATCATACTGATCACCAATAGAAAAGCAGGAAATCTATGCTAATTTCTTAGACTTGATTTTGTATATGTAGTCAATCCTTGCTCTATCACTTCCGATTCTCATCCGCCCTCTCTGGTCGTTAACTAAGTTTCGAAAACGACAATATGATAGAAACAACTATGTCAGTCTATTGTTCGACTTTCATGAAGTTTTCACTCGAAAAGAAATCGGGTTTGTTTCAGCTCAGTCACATTCAATGATTTCAATTATAATGCTCTACTACTTTTTATTGTTGTCTGCACCTTCATCAACAATAGGCTTGTTACTTAAGCAACAAAAATGAAGAGTTTTCAACGTAGAATCTTATGCAGTTTGTGAATGGATATTGGAGCCGTCAAAAATGAACGATGACTAAGATAAAACAACTTTCATTCATTCATTTTTCTTCTGCGTTTTCTTTGAAAACCCTTTAAAAAAATGCTACGGCTTCCAGAAACGATAGAATATAGCGTTCTTGAAACTTTTCTCACTATGTACATAATACAATCATTTAAAAAGTAAAAAATGACAACTGCTCTGATAATATCATCTTGACAATTTTAGTTCAGAAGTTTATTGACACTTTGAAAAATAACAATTCATATTTAACTACGATTACACATATTAGTCAACTATAGTCATGGAAACATAACTATTTACATGCTACAACTACGATTGCTTTACTTGGTAGTTCAAATGATTCATTCGATTTAAGTTCCAAATGAAAATCTTGACGTAAAATTCGCATTGTTTCCTTTTCAGCTTTTAAATACAGTGACGAGTCTGTAAACCATGTGTCCATTCGCCAGAAGCTAAGTAGAGTACGAATATCAGGAAATAACATTGGAAGGTCAACGGTTATCCATTGCTCTATCTTAAATTTTTCTGCAATGAACTTGTTTTTTGTTATGTCTTCTGGCCAACAAATAAATGATGCATCCGATTCTAGATGTGACGTGTCGATTCGTTTATCAGTAGCCATGAAATGGGCAACTTGTTTTAAGATTGAAAGAAATGGAACTTGACTGGGGTGGGGCCAATGAGAACTGATGAGTAATCCATTCGGTTTTAGTTGTTGAAAGAAGCTTCGTAACATTTGACGTTGATCTGATGCATAAGGAAGTACCAGAGAGGTGGTGATGATGTCGTAGATGTTGGTATTCGATGAGTCAACAGTTGTGGAAAAGTTTACAATCAAATGCCGATTTTTCAATTCGTGTAAACGTTCCTTCGCTACAGAAATCATACCTTGAGAAAAATCAATTGCTTTTAATTGAACATTGTAGAGCTTGTTTGTCTCAAGTTGCTGCAAAATAGTCAGAATCGGCTCACCAGGACCTACGTAGTAACAGAATGATTGACGAAGTTCATATGGCATTCCTTACTAGTCAAAACATAAAAGACGAATATGAATACGTACCTGTCCCATAATCCAAAACTTTGTATTCATCATTTGTATCTTTCGACTGAATTTTTTTAACAACATAATGTGCTATAGTATCATACATTGGTTGAAAACGTGGTAAGAATACATCTTGATACGATGGAGCTAATGTTGACCAGTCATCGTAGGCATCTTCATCCGATTCGATAGTTGTCATCTTAATATCTGAAGTAAAAAGTGAAAAAAATCATTGATATAAACTGATGTATGTAGCACAACTATGCCATTCTGTTAGCCGCACGTTATACCACAATACTATATATGATAATTATACAGACATATAGACAAAAAGAGATACAAAATAAAGCAAAAAGCATATAAAAAAAAGAAATATAATAACGAGTAGGAGCAGCACTAGAAGAGAACAAAAAAAATATTTTTTCTTTCTTTTGACTTCGTCCACTGATTATATGTAGACATAAACAATGATGTTCACGGACATGAATCATACCGAACCGATATAAGTCAGCTGATTATTGTTATAATATGTGATGCTATAGACGAAAAGTGATGACAGTTAAATCCAAAATGGGTCATTTACACTTCAAGTGTTCATTAGTATCGCTGTCGAACTCATTGTGTGGTACCCTGTTTAATATGACTAGCATACCGGTGATTGATATACTTTATTTTTAGTAAATTATACTAGTCTCATCTTGATTTAAAATACTTTTAGTATACCACTAAAAAAGGTTTTCCCAAAAATCCTCATACGAGGTCAATAATATTGACTGAAAATGAAAATCAATCAGCGTTATTTGATTCGCCCTACATGGTTTTATAAAAAAAAGAATTCTGTTGTCGAAATGTTTCAGCGAATATTGTTTTGAGAAATTCAAACTTCAAAACGTTGACTTCAACAACAAATAATCTTTTCTTGGACAGTATTTTCTTTCTTTTCTACACAACTTGTATTAGTTCTTCTGAGTTTCTTCTTCAAATAGGTGCTACTGGGATATAACGGATGACCCATAATGAATGGCCGCACTTTGCATTGCATGTTTTAATTTCTAAATATGTCTTATTAAACAACAGAATATACCACAAGATGCAATGTGAAAAGCTGTACAATCTACACAATAGAGCTTATCCTAATTGTGCACTTTTTGCTTTCAAAAAAGAGGAAAATTCTATGAGATCAATTTTCGTCGTTGTGCAGATTGTTCACACTATTTTGAAAATCAAAAGCATGCAATTAAAATAAATTATTCTTTGCAAATTATAGAACTTTTCACGCTGCATCTTGTGGCATATTCTGCTTTTTTAATAAGACGTATTTAGAAATTAAAATATGCAATGCAAAGTGTGGCCATATATTATGGATCACCCGTTATTATTAATCCATAGTAGAAATCTCTGAAATATCGCTCGTTTATACTTTACAAGATTAGATTCAGAATTTAGAGTGTTTATTGTGCTTTTAAGGAAAACAGATGCTCTGAAAATATGCTAGTTCTTAATTCTTAGAAAGAAAGCACTAGTCTTAATCCTTAGAGCATACTTGTTGTTATTCAGTATTTATAATCTGCTTGTTCTAGTTGTTTGGCAATCATTTACGTTCTCTTGCTCATGAACAAGAAGTTTGTGTTGAAATAGCTGCTATATAATCTCATGCGTTCTCTTTTCGAAAACATACATGAACTAATTTGAAAAGTAATTCTGTTTTCGACGTCGACACGTGAGCTATATATTAACGATTAATACTGATTTCCTATTAAGATTACTTAAAGAAAGATAGGAGTTATTTTCAAATAGTTTTTGTTTATTTTAAAATAGATATTGAACTGAATATTTAATATTTGTATCAATTTAAAACTCTTGAATTAGAAAAAAAATATCCATATAATATTCGTGATGAGTGTAGGCGTGAGCTTTCTCTTCTTCCACATTCTCGTACTCACATATATTTTCTCGTTGAAATCAAATTAATTATTGGTAAAAATTGTTTTGTTCATTTTTTTCTAAAAATGAAATTCAGATCGACTGGTAATCATTATTATATAGTTATAACTCTGATTCAATTGTATTCAAATATATATAAGTTAATTCGTTTGTGTTTTATCATGTATTTTAATCCAAAAGCAATGTGACGAGCATTTTTCGTTATTGCAATTGCATGTTTATATAAAATCAAAAAAGAAAAGAACAATAAACAATTATTTTAATGCCTTTCTCAGTTTACAGATTATAGTTGACGAAATATATCAGTGAGAACTAAATTTGAGTTAGAATACCCAACCAAGTTGTCGTATTGAGTTTATAGGTATCATTCAAGTAGTATGAAGAAAGAAAATAATTAGTTTCGTGATACTGAAAGATGTAGAAGAAAAACAACTACGTAATAAACTTATTCAGTTGTTAAATGTGCTAAATCATAATGTAAATATATACATTCAAGTTTTAATTGATCATAAAGTCAACGTTCATTATCTAATATCTTGTCTTTAATTGTCACATATTTTCATCTCGGCGATCTTAATAATGATCATTGACAATGACATGTTAATTAGATATTCTGATTTTTATACTTCTAATTTTATTTTGCCAATATACATTAAATGATAAAGGTTTGCAGATTTTTTTTTTGAATAGAGTGCGATCGTTAATTCAGAAAATATATCAACATGGATACAACCATTCAATTCAATAAGTTCTTCATCATTTATTTTTGTAAAATAACAATCGAGAATTGAATCACAATGTAATCCACGCATATTGTTTTACATTTAGATAAATTACTTGCAAGAATTAAAAGATATTTTAATGACATAGACGAAGATATCTGAAAGTAAAAGAAAATAAGCAATAATATTTATAAAGCAAGTCAATATAGATAATCGATTCATACAATAAGAAAATGCTCTGTGAAGGATGGAATATTTACGTAGACCTTCGCAACTTTTTCGTCACACATATTCAACACAGCGAAAAATATGCAAACTTTGGAGGCCGAATGCATACACAACCGACCACAGAAATATTCTATTTCACCAGGCATTAAAAAAAATTTACAGCAATTCTCAAAAAGATTGTCACAAAAAAGTGACTTCTCATACATCTTATCGAATCCTAGAACTTCTTTTCTCTAATCCTTAAAATGCATTTGTATCACTCTCAATTGCTTCTTTCTCTTTTCAATCAGTAACAAAACAAAGTTTTCACTTCTATCTTCATGTTCACTGGCGTTGCTACAACGGATATACTTTATTTTATTCAAAGTCTAACCATGTCACTTTTATTCAATTTGCAAAACATGTTGTAGTCGAACGATCGAGACATATTTCCGTTTCTTTTTAACTCTAAATAAGATTCCCGTTCGCAAAAGAACGGGAGTGGACCGAACTCGACGGCACTGCAGTGTCGAGACGATCCGTAGCACAGGTCCGAGTGAACTCGGGTGATCCTGGCCGATGTCCAAAAATCCGCTTGAAAGAGCCTGGCCCCAATGGGACCAGCGCCGGCTTTCAAACCGACGAGAACAGATACTACACTTTGATCTTAGCCGAAAAGGCCGAGAAGCGATACTTATTCAAGAAAATATAAAGTCTCGATACCCGTCTTGTCTTTACACATTACATAACAGAACGAAGAAACGANATCCTTTAAAGGTTCCGGGTTTTTTTTATTCGTTTTTTGAAAATTTCAAGACATTTGCAAACTTTTTGTCATCTACCGAACCTTTTTTTGAGGTTCCAGAAAGTACCGTTTTTTTTACAGTGCACTCATTCATGACAAGCTAGACTCATTCGTGCTACTTCAGTAAGAACGTTAGATTACCATCCCAATGAATAGGATTACAACTGGTTATAATAACTTCTGCATAGAAGCGCATAGAAAAGTGCTGTGATCTATTGTTTCATGATACCCTCTGTTTGTATTCTGCTCTGTTGAAAAATCATACTTCAATAAACGTTTAATTATTTTGTTAGAACCCTTATCATGAGGAAGTTGTAATACTTATTTCTAAATTTTGAGAAGGTGTTTAAAGATAAAACTAACTAACTTATTTCAGTCATGGAATGTGAGATGCAACGGGATTGAAATGATGACTATCGAAGCTATCTCTTATTCTATTCTCGTGAGCGCAGTTTTTGTTGACAGCTTTTAACGTTGAGCGACATTTATGATAATAACTGACATCCGTATGTCTACTACGCTCTAAATAAAAATCGTTTTCCCGGGAACCCCGGAAAATAGGTTTCCGGGCTTTTTTATACCCTAAACAGTTTCCGAACTCATCTTGGAAACCTTTAAAAGGTTTTTGAGAGAAAAAAAGGGTTTACGAACTTCGGAAACCTTTAAAGCGTTTCATATAGTGGCCAACCCGGAAACGCTACACGGTTTCCGGAAAAAGTGATCTGTTTCCAAAATTCCAGAAACCATGTCACTTTTTCGGAAACTCTTCAGTGTTTCCGAGTTTGTCACTATATGAAACGCTTTAAAGGTTTCCAAAGCTCGGAAACCCATTTTTTCCTTCCAAGAACCGTTTAAAGGTATTCGAGATTAGTCCGAAAACGTATTCAGGTTTTCGGAATCAGCCTGGAAACCTATTTGTGTTTTCGAACGCTCGGAAATCTATTTTTCGGGGTTCTCGGGAAAACGATTTTTATTTAGAGTGTACTAGGGGAAACAAATAGGCATTACTTTGTCACATTATATATATATCAAACAATGAGCTGATGTCGTGGACGAATCAAAGAATGCTAGAGCGTGATTTTCATAAAGATGAAATCGAGTTATATCGCGTTTCATAGTGCTAAAAAATTCTTTCTATTAAGATGTGGGTGGGGGTAGGGGTGGGGTGGGGTTACGAGAAAGGATCCACAGCCACACCCCACACCTGAGCCTGCTCTTCCACACAGACCTAGATATAAATGCAAATGAAGGAACAAGAATTATGAACTTTTTTCCTGCTGAATCCTGTCGCATTTTGAAATAGAAATATGAAGAAGGTAGACGACCATTTTGAGATAGAAGAAAACAATACACACACGTCAGCACATATCTCCCTAGCTGAGGGTGCTCGGATATCGTGATTCCACGTGAAAAACACATTCCTACTGGTTTAATTGCAAATGAGCAATGCGAAGATTTTCACCGAAATTCGGCCAAATTCATTTAGTAAGGAATGTGTTTTTCATGCGGAATTATGATTTCCGAGCACCCTTAGCAGATAAATATGTCCTAAAGTGCATGTGATAAAGATTTTTGTAGCACCATCAATAAGATTTTCGTAGCACCATTACTCTCAGCGAAGGAAGCATGTATTTATTTAATGTCTGTAAGAAATCATAAATGAAACTCGGGTTAGTTAACTTTTTGATATGATCAACTTTTTTTCAAATACTTTAAAAGGCAACGCTTCAAGATTAGATATCAACGTTTCTGATAATATTTTTCAAATATCAATCACAGAAAAGCAACTATAGTCTTTCAATACTTCGACTAATTCATCTTTTAAAAAATATTTATTCAGTCATTCTTTTCATTTTATTTAAAACGAACTATATACAAGAAATAGAATATGTTTTTTTAACAATTGAATCTTATCACCACAAATATAATTTCTAATTAACATAATTTATTAAATAATCATCAAGTCATTTTTCTAATTTAGTTAATTTCTTCAATTCTCGTAAGGATATTTTATGTGCTTTTAAAACACACAAAAAGAATAAATGACGAACATTTTTATTGTTTTTTTTAATAATAATCGTATAATATAGAAAAATTCTTTTCTATTCATTTCAGTTGTAAATTGTTCCAATCGAGGACATAAATCAATAATTAATTGAATTTCTTTTAATATAAATAAAAGCATCTAAATGCATATACGTCTTCATTTTGTTGTATTGTACAAAACCAGAAAAAACAAGGAAATATGTCTTCTCAACAACAATCGCATTAACGAGTATTCTTAGTTACTGAAACTAATAAAGGTATTGGATTTGAACTTGTGAAACAACTTGCGACAAATCATCCAACTGATCTAATTTTGCTTGGCAGTCGTAATCAGCAACGTGGCGAAGAGGCTCTAGCTCAACTTGGTTCATCTTTAAATGTCAAAGTCTTCCTGGCTGATGCATCATCGAAAGAAAGTATTGAACAGACAAAACAGGAAATTCAAAAGAAATATGTTGGTCATCTCGATGTACTCATCAACAATGCTGGCACAGCAATTAGAAAATCAGGTTTGAAAACATTAAAAGATATTTTCAATACGAATGTTTATGCAGTGAAACAGATGAATGATGCAATGTCACCCCTATTAAGAAACAGTGGACGTATTGTTAATGTTAGTATTGAAGCAGGGGCAATGTCAATGAAATACTGTTCACAAGACTTAGAAACAAAATTTCTCAATCCAAACTTAACAGGAACTAAATTAGAAGAGTTATTTGCACCGTAAGTTGACGAGAAAAAGAATCAAGTAGAACATTTATTTAATCTTTTTTTTTTCATTTTCAGTTTATTCAAAGCAACCGAAGAAGGAAACGATCCAAAAATGGCTGGCTTTGATCATATTAAATCTCCTTCCCTTGAAGATTTCTATTTATTATACTATTGCGCATCAAAACTAGGTGTCAATATTCTAACTCGTCTGAAAGTACGTGATTGGGATAAAAAATATTCAACGAAAAATGCAACAATTAGTGCAGTCTGTCCAGGATTTTGTGCAACTGATCTAAATAGCAAAGCACAGGGCGCACGATCACCTAAACTGGGTGCTGACTCTATTTTACATGGTGTTTACACTGAGAATCTTGAGAATGAACAATTTTGGAGAGATGGGAGTCGTTTACCATTGAAATCAGAGGAATAACATACCCGAGTTTTTTTCAAATGTGATTCTTAACTTAAAAAAAACCAAGAACAATTTCAATAAATTGAGTGTGTGAGGGTGAACCAAAAAGAACACCGTGTTCGCGATTTCGACCTTGCTTAAGTGAGTCAAGCAAACTAATTATGATGCGTTTTGACCTGACCCAAGAGTCTCATCAAGTAGTTATGACTTTGTAACTATCTAAATGATTAAGAAGGTCATAAATAAGTATAGCAAATCAAATGGAACAAGGATAATGAAGTTTAATTTTGTAAGACTTTTATTTTAATGAAAAGTAAGTTTCATAATAAGAAAATGAATAACAAGAAATCTAGGGTCTAAATGGGCAAGTAGTATAGTGTTCATATGTACTGTATCTGTAACACTGTTATTAGTGTTCGTGAAAATGTTTTCTCGATGTGTGTTGCCTTGGCACAAAATGGTATTATTATTGGCATTTGTTTCTTTGTTCTTTGGGGGAGATAAAACTATTATAAATTATCTTCTTTAATTTTTCATTTACCTTCTGGAAATATGACTTTCAAATAGTTTTTAATCTGTTAAGAATAGACGCAAACGACAATATCTTCTATCATGAGTCTCATAGAATCAGTCAATAACTTCTATAAGACTCTTTTTCTCGCTTCGCTAGAAACTTATTAAACATGTTTTCTTCCTACGCCAATTACTCATCAAATTGTAATCTGTAATTGATACAAATCTTATAAAGCAGTAAGCAGACTTCTCTGGTTTATCTTTATTTTCTTCGAATTTTTTATGTTTTCTTTTTCTCTTCTTACTCGCTGCTTCTCTCGTTCCTAGTCACATTTTCTTTCTCTTCCGCTCGCTATTGATCTCTATTGTACATAGCGTTGCTTTCATCTCAATGTGCATCCGTATATCCAAGATATTGCTTCGAGCCTCCTTGGAACAGAAGCATGAAAAAATTATAAAAAGCATACTACAAAGAATGATGAAGAAAAGTACACTCAGAACGCGTAAAATGAGAGATTTCAATAATCTTCTTATTGCTAGTCGTTGTTAGTGCGACGCCGACAGGATCCTTAATAAAAGAAAATGCAGGTTAACTCAATTTGGATTAAAGCAACAATGTTTTTCTAAGTTGAACATTTATTCTCAGTTGAAAGAAAATGATTCCAAATTTTGACATTTGCTCAACACCTTCTAGATATGTATCATAAGCCAATAAGCTTAAATTTCGATATTGACATGCAAACGAACAAACATATGTTTCTTTGTTTTTTTCTGTAAAACGTGAGTTACTAATATGCAAAGAAAATTTTCTTCAACATAAAATCTGTCTCATCCTCAAATGATGGGAGCACTCTATACTGATGAAATCTCATTTGAAGAAGAAAACACATACTCACGTAGCCAAGAAATGAAACGGGATGATGTTGACTGTCTATCACGTGGCAACAGTGATGTTTTTGCAGTAGCTTGTTCTCTGGATTGGTTCTGTTGTTGTGGTTGAGACGGTATTGGAAGTCGTATTATAGATTGTGGTCACTGTAATTGTTAAAAACTTACTTCCTCTGAACACTTCTGAAGGCAAGATGAAGTGATCCGTTGTTTCTTATGCACTTCAATGAAAGACAGATTTCAATCTCACCACATATAACGATAATTTCAAAAGCAAAGTTTACCAATACTTGGTCAATTCAATCCTTTTGAACGATTAATAAAAGTTTGAATATGTTTGAGCTTTTGGTAGCTCGATTTTCTATTAATTATAATATATTTCTAATTTACAGAATATGCACTATCTGTTCTTGACAGAAATATTCGAGATGACACCACGGGTAAACATATCTCCTTCTCTCTCTGTAGTCATAGTAGAAATGGAAGCTGTCAAAGAAAGTGATATTATTACAAAAATACGCAGCAGATATTTGTCGCTATAAGCTATTCTCATTTTTCAAGAAGAAATTATCTTCTTTCATTAAATATAATGACTGGAGGTTTTTTCTTTCTGTTGCCAGTTAATGTTAGATAGAATGAAGTAAGCGTTGACTAACAACTATCAACCATGGAGTTGAACTCGAGCAATTCGTCTTACCATGTTGACGAAGAAGATCGTGATTTATTCAAGATGTCATTATTTGAAAGAAACATCAAGTTTTACTTCCTTCTCATTATGGATATTCCTTCAATTTGCTGCACAGTTTTCATGTAAGTTTGGATGAATACCCAGTCATTCGCGAAAGTCTTGAAAATACGTATAGATATTTGAATTTTTAATAAACTTGTATGTGCATGTAAACATACTCGAGAGCATACGGAAAATTGTTGCTGAATTTTGCACTACATGTCATCTCACGCAGACATTTGACATTCTCCGAAGACTGGTCAGTGTACGCGTCGTAAAGTTTTATAGCAGATGCTTGCATTCACATGTGCTTCAGTATCTCGTGACTATTTGTATCAGTCAATTTTGCTCTACCACGTTGCTCCTAGAAAATGAACCACATGTTTTTAGACTTTCTTTATAGAATATCAACTGTTTCCTTATCATTCGACCCTAAGATATATCCTAGCAGTCCCCACAAAATGACATATTTCGATTTCGAAAAAACGACAATTTCAGACAGTAAAATGAAATATTTGCAGGAAGTTTACTTTTCAGAAACTTAAGGATGAAAATATGAAACAAGAACTCATTTCCCTTGAGATAAACGGTGCAAGAGAGAAGAGTAGTTTGTTGCCTCAGTTTTCAAATGATCGCTGTTCTGTATGAGGGGGAGAGTGTCAACTGGCATTATACAAAAAAGTGTTTGCTGTTGATGATTGTTATGACAAAGTGATTCAATGGTAAGTGCATAAGCCGTTTATCATTTTTCCAATGTAACTAGCTATTTAATTATTTAGCAATATTAAACCATTGTCATAGCTATTTGAATAAAAAAGATTGGTATGTCAGCAAACTGCATAGCTAGTTTACGATATAGCTGGCTGATTTAATAGCTGATTCATTTTTCTCATTAAGTAAAGAACATTAATTTATTGTTTGCCTTCATGTAACTGATGACTTAAATTCTAGTCCTATTATAACATAATTATTTCGGTAACTGTTAAAGAACACAGCAGCTATTAAGTTACTTAATATGTAAGTGGTTGTAATTCATTCTTTCAAACAGTACTGTCAAACTTTACAAGGTTCGACATATAAAGAAAAGGAAACTGTTCATTTTAAACAGCTAAATACTATTTAGATAGCTACTGATTTTTCAAAATAGGACTTTATTTTGAATAGCTTTATTTTCAAATTATTTTTGGAATTATTAATTAAGGTTAGTATCTCCAGGTGTTTTTACGTCAGGTGGTCTCTTAATTATGCCTCCAAAAAAAGGAGGAACAGGTGCAAGTAAACAAAGGCAACATTTATTTTATTCACAACAAGGTCAAACAGCAGTAGCTGATGTTGGAGGAACAATGGCGATGAGTCATAGTCCAAGAACAAAGG